TCCTAAAAGCCATAATGTACATAATGAAGCATATGCAGTATTTTTTCTTTCAGTGTGTTGCTTTTACCAATTTAAGTTTTGGGCCCCCCTGCACCCTGCTGTTGGTTGGCATTTATAAATCCAAATGGAAGGGATGTTTCTTAGAGTTATTATGGCAGCAAAATTTTGATAGCAAAATTTTGTAGGAATAAGCTCTGTATGGCATAAGACTGAGATCATTGCCACAGAATTAGATTTGTTATTGAAATTTTTTTTTACATTTAGTTTCCATCATTGGATGCAGGCACTGTGGCGTAGCAGGTGAAGCTGTGGCCTGCAGTACCAGCATCCCATATGGGCACCGATTCAAGTCCCTGCTGCCCCACTTCTGATTCAGTTCCCTGCTAAGGTACCTGTGAAAGCAGCAGAGGATGGTCCAAATCCCTGGGCCCTTGCACCTATGTGGGAGACCCAGAAGAAGCTCTGGCTCTGGCCTGGCCCAGTCCTGGTCATTGCAGCCATTTGAGAAGACAGCAGATGGAAGACTTCTGCTTCTCTCTCTCTCTCTCTCTCTCTCTGAAACTCTGCCTTTAAAAAAAAAAAGTTCATCATTGAAGCATACACTGTATCCTGGAAGGTATTCGAAAAACTATACCTGCAGAAACATTCCTTAAGTTTACTAGCAGATTAATTCTGATGACGGTTATTTTCAGTCACCATTAGCCTTTACAAATGTCTTCAAGTTGTTTGAAATTTCATTGTATCTTCAGTATTTGAGCAGTGTTTTTGTTTTTAACAACATAGCCTTTTATTTTTAAGGTTTTGCTTTTTTGACTATCAGCCCATAACCTCAAGTCCTCTTAAATTAGTACCCTCATAATTGTCTCTGTTGCTATCAATTATAGTACTTGAAAATGAACCACATCTGAGGAAAGGTTTGTGTTTAGTTCAAACAACTCTTTTTTTTTGTTTCATTGAAAATAACTGCATGTGCTAAAGTGTCATTTTAAGAGTTCTGAGCCTTTTAAAAATATTTCCCTTTGACATATTCTTTCAGATATTCTTATTAGTTTTTGATCCATATTATTAGGTGGAAAGAAATAAATTGAGGTTAAAAACTTTGAAAAAAGCCAATTATTTTTATATTGTTCACTTCTATAGTGAAACATTTCCATTAAAAGACATATGTAGGCCGGCGCCGCGGCTCACTAGGCTAATCCTCCACCTTGCGGCGCCAGCACACAGGGTTCTAGTCCCGGTCGGGCCACCGGATTCTGTCCCGGTTACCCCTCTTCCAGGCCAGCTCTCTGCTATGGCCAGGGAGTGCAGTGGAGGATGGCCCAAGTGCTTGGGCCCTGCACCCCATGGGAGACCAGGGTAAGTACCTGGCTCCTGGCTTCGGATCAGTACGGTGCGCCGGCCATTGGAGGGTGAACCAATGGCAAAGGAAGACCTTTCTCTCTGTCTCTCTCTCTCACTGTCCACTCTGCCTGTCAAAAAAAAAAAAAAAAAAAGACATATGTAAACCACAGAAAATATTACATGGAAGGAATCATTTTTAAAAGTAGGGATAACATACAATAAAAAAGCTGTCATAGTTCTTGGTCAGTGAAAAACAATTTAAAATATGTTCCTTTTTACAGTTCTGTTGGGTGTTTTCTATGTAACTGTAATTCTCAGTGGTTCCATAGTCAGTTGCTTTTGGGTAAAAGATGCATTTTGTACTTTTTTGAAAAAGTTCATATATGCTAGGCTAAGTCAGTGATAATGGTGTCCTGAGTTCCTGTGGCTTCCTTATCCCGTGTAACTCAGGGATCTTGGTGAGAAATTTCTGTTTGTACTCACATCTCCATTAAGAAGTTCATCCATTTGTCCAACCAAGATGCTTTGAGGCCCTGCTTACTTCCAAATATTTTTAAGATATTTTCCTATAGACCAAGAAAAGAAGAATGGAAACAGAAACATTACCTTTTCATTTATAGCTAAGAGTCCTGGTAGTGACAAGTGTGTGAATTTGTCACTGAATGCTTTGCCACTTCCTCTCTATTGAGTCTTTTGACCCCTTTGGCAGGAGGAATTTACTGGGATGGTTCATTTTACTAAATAATAATCCCATCCAAGTGGATGTCACTGTAAAGTATGCTGCATAATGTGGTGTTCCCTAGCCATATGTGACTATTTAAATTTCAGTTAATTAATGAAAAAATAAGAAAACATCTTTAACAACTTAGAAATAGATTCTTCATTTGCACTAATCCTACATCAGGTATTGAGTAGTCACCTCTAGCTAGTGGCTACCCTATTGGACAGGAGAGACCATAGAATATTTTCATCATTTCACAGTCCTAGTAGACCGCACATCCCTAGGGACCTCACTTGATTTTTTTTTTTGAAGATCTGTTTATATATTTGAAAGGCAGAATTACAGAGAGGTAGAGGTAGAGAAAGAGAGAGAAAGGTCTTCCATCTGCTGGTTCACTTCCCAGATGGCTGCCACAGCTGGAGCTGTGCCAGTCCAAAGCTGGGAGTCAGGAGATTCTTCCAGGTCTCCCGTACAGGTGAAGGGGCCCAAGGACTTGGACCATCTTCTACTGATTTCCTAGGCCATAGCAGAGAGCTGGATTGGAAGTAGAGCAGCTGGGACTAAAACCAGCGCTCATATGGGATGCCATCACTGCAGGTGGCAGCTTTACCTACTGCACCACAGCACTGGCTCCCTCAGTTGATTTTTATCACAATTGTATAAGATGGCAAAGTCTACACGGTATAGCTTATACCTTAACAGTGACCAAACTGAAGTGCCGAGCAGTTAAACCATGTGTCTTCTCAGGCATTTGACTTGGAGAAGAACAACAAAAATAAACAAAGTTAAATACAAATGAATAAAAGGTTTTATCTATATTCTGTTTTTTTTCTTGTAATATTTCACAGGCAGATATGTGGTCTTGCTTGTTCACTGTAATAGCCCGGAAATCTGTCACAGTTCAATGTGGTCACAGCATATATAGGGCTTTAAGATTTCAAACTTAAAGAAATAATGATGCATGGTTGTTTTTCAGGAATCTTGATTGAACAGTAAGTTAGTTCAATGTGTATTATATAAGGAAAGCTAGACAATTCTAAGACAGTGTGGCAGCTAAAAGTAGGAAACTTTCTTTGTAGATTTGGCACACTTACTTTCTTTGCCTATAATGAGGGAGAATAAGGTACCTCTGACCTTACCACTTTTCACTCAAATTTAAGTTGATAAAAAATTTGTGATTGAAGGAATCCTATTTAAATGTTTCAGCTTTTGAAAGCAAAGTTTTTCCTCACTTCCCATGAATGGGGGAACATAAGCTGAAACTTTGCAATATTGTGCATTACATTTCATTGCAAATTTCAGGTGCTTTAGTGACTTAAATGCTAGGTTAGAATGTTCCAGATGGTCTCTTTTAAGGTGTGGCTTTAACATCTCTCACAGCATTGGCTGATTGTCAGGTTACTGCCTCAGTGAGTGGTTCATTCTCAGCTTTCTGGCTCGATGATGCTGTGTTACTAACAGACTGAAATCCGTGTGCCTGTTTTGGTGAATATGAGTATAGTGAAGCATTATCATCCTTTGATTAAAGGCTGTGGGAGACCGTCACGCATTATTATCTTAATGTATAGTAAGTGTTGTGTATGTGTTAATGCACATTTCCTAGAACTCCATTACTGGACACAAATTAAGAGGTTGCCTCCACTGAGGAAGCTGTGGGCCTGAGAGGTTAAAAAAACTTAACCAAGCACACCTCTCTGTAAGTAGCAGAATGCGGACTTCCGTCTTAGTCCTGTACAATAAAGGGATAAACACATCTCTGAGTGCACTACAGAATATTATTTGCATTTTAAGTAGAGCCTTTGGATGCCTGAGTCTTTTCGCATGGAGTGACTTGGATACTAGCAGCGATCACACGTGTCATTTTGTGAGCAGCTGTTGAAGAAGGCAGAACGTGATTATGCCACTTGCTTAATATATTACATCTGGTTGCTGGAAAAATCCAGAAGTCCACGGATAGTTGGAAGGGAAATTTCCTCTCATTTTGGAGCATTTCAGTCAAAAACTCTGTCCTAAACTATGATTGTTGGCTGCCCAGTGGTGGTGCTTAAATGAGCTGCCCATTGAGGTGCGTGCTGAGAAGGGAGGGAGGATTTTACATAAAGTGCTCTTTGAGGCCTTCAGAGCTGCGGTACTGGACGGTTTCATCATTTGGGAAAGAAGGCAGGGCAGTGATGATTTTTGTGGTGGAATTATTTTATTTTGGTATTTGAACATCCCCATGACCCACTCATGGGAGGAGCTGTGGGCTGTTTTCCGTGAGACAGAACCTCATTCAAATAAGGCCCTTAGATGAGGGGACATTTGAAATCTTTGCATTGTTCTTCCTCCATCAGAATTTCCTGCCTTTATTTTCAGTTTCGTGGTGCACACTTGGGCTTCAGTGATAAGCTTTCCCTGCAGTCGTTCTATTTTGTCTAGATAGGCCTTGTCTTTGCTGCGGCCTCAGTGCTGTAGGAGCTGGACAGGTTTCCTTGGCGATCGTCTGCCTTAAGTAATCTCTGAGCAGCTGTCTCTGATTTTGACAGCCACCCTTTGCTTTGCAAAAAGGCCCCTCTGCCCAGTGGTGATTTGGATGCTTCTGCATGAATGTGACTCAGAGGAGGCAGTAGTAAAACCTACTCAGTGGAAAATTGTTTTCTTAGATTCTTAAAGGTATATATTACTAAATCTTTTTAATTAGTGACGGTGCTTTTATTACTTACCCTCATCTGTTACTTTGGCCCCAAATGTTTAGCATAATGAGCCTCTCAAAGAGTAGCTGTTGGGAAATGAAGAGTGAATTTATTCAGCTCTGATTATTCAAGTGATTTCATAATAAGCAGGAGTACTATTGTAGTTTTTGATGTGGAATACTTGGCACCACCCCTGCCACCCCCTGCAGAGAACCCATTGAATTAATGACACGTTTAAAGTAACATCTCTCTCCTCTACACCCCAGGTCACTTCAGGTGGAACTTTCATTGGCATTGGACGGAAAACACCAGATTGCCAAGGAAACACCAAGTATTTCCGCTGCAAATTCTGCAATTTCACCTACATGGGCAACTCATCCACTGAACTAGAACAGCATTTTCTTCAGACTCACCCGAACAAAATCAAAGCTTCTCTCCCCGCCTCTGAGGGTGCGAAACCTTCAGAGAAAAACTCTAACAAATCCATCCCTGGTCTCCGGTCCAGTGAGTCTGGAGACTTGGGAAAGTGGCAGGACAAGATCACGGTCAAGGCAGGAGATGACACTCCGGTTGGCTACTCTGTGCCCATCAAGCCCCTCGATTCCTCAAGACAAAACGGTACAGAGGCCACCAGTTACTACTGGTGTAAATTTTGTAGCTTCAGCTGTGAGTCGTCCAGCTCACTTAAGCTGCTGGAACATTATGGCAAGCAGCACGGAGCAGTGCAGTCAGGAGGCCTTAATCCAGAAATGAATGATAAGCTTCCCAGGGGCTCTGTCATTAATCAGAATGACCTAGCCAAGAGTGCAGAAGGGGAGCCGCTGACCAAGGCAGACAAGGGCTCGAGCGGGGCTAAAAAGAAGGACTTCTCCACCAAGGGAGCAGAGGATAATATGGTTACAAGCTATAACTGTCAGTTCTGTGACTTTAGATATTCCAAAAGCCATGGTCCCGATGTAATTGTAGTGGGGCCACTTCTCCGTCATTATCAACAACTCCATAACATTCACAAGTGTACCATTAAGCACTGTCCATTCTGTCCCCGAGGCCTTTGCAGCCCAGAAAAGCACCTTGGAGAAATTACTTATCCGTTTGCTTGTAGAAAAAGTAATTGTTCCCACTGTGCGCTCTTGCTGTTACACTTGTCTCCTGGGGCGGCGGGAAGCTCGAGAGTCAAACACCAGTGCCACCAGTGTTCATTCTCCACCCCTGATGTAGATGTGCTCCTCTTTCACTATGAGACTGTGCATGAGGCCCAGGCTGCGGAGGTCAAGCAAGAAGCCAATCATCTGCAAGGATCGGATGGGCAGCAGGCTGTTAAGGAAAGCAAAGAACACTCATGTACCAAATGTGATTTTATTACCCAGGTGGAAGAAGAGATTTCCCGACACTACAGGTAAGCCATGGGGGGAGAGATGCCAAGGGAGTGATGGGAAGGATCTCAAGGGATGATCCAGGAACTGTTGCAAGTGATTCTGAAGACATGGGGAAGTTATAAGACAAGATCCCACAAGACATGATGTATTTATCACATTCAGAAATAGATGATAACCACAGATTTTTAATGCGGTCAGACCATGTACTCATGTTTCATACATTTTTTAATGTTTTCTGAATGTACTTTTATATTTGCTGTTATGCTGGTGATACTGATGAGTTTCCCCTAGTCTATTTATGTGTCATTGCTAATTATGACTCCACATCCCATAATTTTTGATGGAGGAGCTCCCAAATGAAAGGTGTTGTTACAATCTACTGTGTTCCCTCTTCCAACTGGGAAACTTGAGAACATGTTGCTTATTTTTCTTTGAAAATGAGATTGGACATTCTTCTGGCTTTGAAAAGTTGTGCAACATCCTTATTGGGTTTCAGACAGTAAACTGAAGGGGAGAATTTTGTGAAATGTGAGACTTCAGTTTTATGTATATTCACTCCTCTGATCTGACAAAACTGTGTAAGTTATTGCAGATTTGTAAATAGAGGCGGAGAATGTTTGTGTGTTTCTTCTATTTCTATTCATTAAAAAAAAAAAACCCTCATTTTCTCAGTTAAGCCTGCATTCCATTTAGAGATGAATTTAGGATGTTTGTATTTCATTTGTGTATTGATTAATTAATTAATTATTCCACAAATACACGCTAGGACAGGCATTGTGTTTACAGGTATAAATAGTACTTACAGAGATAGTGTCCTCATGGCACTTAACGTTTAGTAGGGAAGACAAACCACCTAGTCTGTCATTATACAAGCGATGAGCATCACGCAATTGAAGTTCTGAGAACCAGGTTTCAACATAACAGCTGCAGAGCTGTGTGTGGTGCTTAGGGAAGGCTTCCTCGAGGAAGGAGCATTTAAACTGAGTCTTGATTATAAGTAGGACTTAGTTCAACAAAACCTTGGTGGCAAATATGTTCAAATATTACTTACAGTTTATTGGGTGCTTTCTTGTAATCATACTTCTAGGCATCCAAATAAAGAGCTTTATTTACTATTTTAAGTGCTTTTCCATATATACATTACATCTTCTAGTTTAAAAATCTAGTTACATTCTAAGATTTCAAAAAATCCGCTACATTTTCTTTCGAAGTTGTATGTAACTGCCAATGTGTGTATGGTTTTTTTAGTCACCAGAAATGAAGCCGTTCATGTCCAACAATAGGCTAATAATGTGAGATGTTAATTTGAAGGGCATTCTAATGTTCACAGTGCATCAAAATGTTCAGAAAACACTTACTTGAGATTTACACTGTTTAATTTATAAGGTTAGCCCTAGGAAAGACACAGTCCTGCAATCAAATATGTGTTCACACTTGCAATGAGTGTTTCTGGCTCCTCTGATGTTCACTGCATGTTAATTTATCTCTGGGGCTAGCAGACATCAGCTTCTGTCTGAGCTTTACTAGTGTGGACGTTAGAGTATGTGCATATTGTACACGTGTGTTAGTTAAGTGAAGCAAAAATTAGATAATCTTTTCTTTTTTTAAGGGGGCAGCTTTTTTTTGAAGAAATCCTCATGATTGTCTTTAATCATTAACAAATAAGCCAGGGTGTTTGCATGAGCACATGTGCATGTATGTGGGTGCACACACACACACACACACACACATTGTGATATATCTAGCTAGCAGATCCTTTGGACAGTAGACTCTTTGAGGAAGCTGAGGCCATAGCTTGGAACCCTATCCAGGACAATAGTGTTTTCACATGGCATTAGATAAACAAAGTAATCCTCCGAGAAATAAAAATATGAATGAAAATATTACAAAAGATAAATGAAATTATTCCCCAAGAGATAAAAGAATGATTAAAAATATAAAGTAATGAAAATGTGAATGAAAATTAGTTAATAATGTCAAAATTAGTTAATAATGTCAAGTAATGAAAATAAGCTCCATAGGAAGAGACTATTGTTTTATTGTTCACCATTGTACCTGTAAAACTTATCACAGTGTCAGAATGCTCCAGAAGTGCTCAGTGAATGTTTTAATGTAAGTGAAATCCCTGTGAGTTTTTGACTGCACAGTATTTGAGTAGGTTCAATCTCCAAGGTGAGTTGCATTTTAATCTTTCACCCTTCTGAGGGCCTGGGGTTTCATATTAAAGTATAGTTGTGTGCTCATTTGAAATTTATGTCAATATCTGAGCATTTTGTTATGTAAAAAAAAAAGAACAACACTGTCCCTGGGGCATTAAGATACTCTTGTACGTGCTTTTAAATCCTGATGTGATTTGGCTCATCTGAGATCCTTTAAGATACTGAGTAGTTTGTCTCTAATCTGTTCCTGAGTTCTCAAAGGAATGTGTGATATTTGGAGTCTTACCACTTTAGGAGTCACAGTTCAGGAGTAGGAAGTACAAAGAAACCCTACTGAAAGTTACATGACAATGGAGGCCCCAGGGATGTGAAAGGAAGGAGTTATGTGGATGTTTAAAACTTGATCTGCTATCAAAGCATTCTTCCAAATGCTTTTTATTTTGAAGACAGAATAAAAGGACAAATTTATTTTATCACCATAGTATCTCTTTAGTTGTATTTATTTGTATTATTCATATTGGGAAATTTCTACCATAATTCTGTTATTGCTTTGAAATTTTCTAGGATTTTAGTGCTTTATATATAATACAGTATAGTAAAATTAGCATAAGCCAAGAACTTTACAGTATGTGGAATCATTTACTTATAAAACACTACAGGAGCCAGTGCCGTGGCTCACTTGGTTGATCTTCTGCCTACGGCGCCGGCATCCCATATGGGCGCCAGGTTCTAGTCCCAGTGGCTCCTCTTCCAGTCCAACTCTCTGTTATGGCCCGGGAGGGCAGTGGAGGATGGCCCAAGTGCTTGGGCCCCTGCACCCACATGGGAGACCTGGAGGAAGATCCTGGCTCCTGGCTTTGGATCCATGTAGCTCCGGCTGTAGCGGCCATTTGTGGGGTGAACCAATGGAAGGAAGACCCTTCTCTCTGTCTCTCTCCCTCTCACTGTCTAACTCTGTCTGTCAAATTGAAAAAAAAAAAAAAAAACACTACAGCTGAGAATCAAGAGAGTTGATCTAGAGTTCTGAGTGGAAAACCTCAGTATGGATTCTAATGATGGATGTTTTCCTTAAGAACTAGGTTTGGCGTAAATTGGATATAAACATTATCTAGTCATTAACTTTTCTTAGTGTCTCATATTTACTTATACTATCCTCTGACTGATATCATGACTTAAAATTATTATATCTCACTCATAAGTTTGTTTCTCACTGTGTATATTTTATTACTTATTAACTAATTGAATAGTACACTCATTCATTATTGACTCCCATTCTCATCAAAATTTTCATTGTTGTAGCTTATGTTTCTGGCTAAGTAGGAGAACTGTCTCCATTTACAGGCACTGCACTAGATAAAATCTACTCTGTAATGCCTTGCCTGACTTCCACAAATTAAGGGGAATTTCTGAAAACTTTTGTTCTTCCCTTTGTGAAGAGTGAGCTAATCCAAAACTAGAGAGAAGTGAAGAGTAAGCAAAGAATGTGAGGTTGCATTGAAGCAAATGCTGGTATTGATTCTGCAGTCATTAGGAGGCTAGGCCTGGAGTCACTGGTAGAGAGCCAGGGTTGGGTCAGGTGTTTCACTGTGAGCTGGGACCTCAAAGGGTTTCCACATTAATGCCTCCTCAGGCTTCTGGAAGAAGTAAACACAAAATATGTCTACAGAAAAGAATTCGAGTTTTTTAAAGATTTATTTATTTATTTATTTGAGAAGTAGGGTTATAGAGAGAGGGGAGGCGGAGAGATAGAGAGGTCTTCCATCCTCTGGGTCACTCCCCAAATGACTGCAACAGCCAGAGTGAGCCAATCCAAAGCCAGGAGCCAGGAGCTTCTTCCAGATCTGCCACATGGGTGCAGGGGCCCAAGCACCTGGGCCATCTTCCATTGCTTTTCTAGGCCACAGCATAGAACTGGATTGGAAGTGGAGCAGTTGGGATTCCAATGGTCATCCATATGGGATGCTGACATCACAGACAGAGGCTTAGACTACCATGCCACAGTGCCAGCCCCAGAATTCCAGTTTTTACCTCCAAGATATCCATGGGTTACAATAAATCTTACATGAGTTCACTATTACAGAAAGTCACCCAATAAACAGGAAAATAAACTGTCATATGTGAAATCAGCAGAAAATACAAATAATAGGTTTAGATACTCTAGAAGTTAGATACATGAATTTTGAGTTATAAAATAATGCATAGTAAATGTATTACTATGTAATAATAAATGTATTACACAATTGATGAAGCAACATGAAACTAAATTTCCAAATGAGCCACAAAAGAAGCACATAGCAGTTTTTAATTGAAAAATACAATTGTTAAAACTTGACTTGCATGGATAGACTTAAACTCAATTAGTAAATGCAATTCATTAAAAAGTGTAAATTCTGTCCCCAACCATTAGAGAATACACGTGGTTTTCAAGAAGATAGTGAGGCCGGTGCCACGGCTCAATAGGCTAATACTCCGCCTAGCGGCGCCGGCACACCAGGTTCTAGTCCTGGTCAGGGCACCGGATTCTGTCCCGGTTGCTCCTCTTCCAGGCCAGCTCTCTGCTGTGGCCCAGGAGTGCAGTGGAGGATGGCCCAAGTGCTTGGGCCCTGCACCCCATGGGAGACCAGGGAAGCACCTGGCTCCTGCCTTCGGATAGGCGCCGGCCGCAGTGCGCCGGCCGCGGCGGCCATTGGAGGGTGAACCAACGGCAAAAGGAAGACATCTCTCTCTCTCTCTCTCTCTTTCTTTGTCTCTCACTGTCCACTCTGCCTGTAAAAAAAAAAAAAAGATATTGACTAGTTATAAAAATGAACACTCCTTAAACTAAAAGGAAATCTGATTTCAGATTTTCAGTATCATACAGA